CACCCAGCTGGTGGGTATTGAGCTAAGACTTGAATTCATGATTGTTTTATCTCAGTGTCATAGTGATTTACTCATCACTCAGTTACTAAGTGACCCTAGTGGTAGTAAACTCTGAGTTGTGAACAAATAAAATGATGTATTTATAAGGACAATGCATCTAAAACAAGGTCTGACAAATAGAGACCAGCCATTAATATCTGAAGAGGAGAATGAGATTAATTAATGTCAGCCTGTACAAGTAAACATGTGCTAGCTGAGCCCTGAACCACATGTCATCATATATTTTCAAATACCAGACCAGGCTACCAGGAACAGCCTCTAGACTGGTGGTGAGGAGGATTGGCTCTGACATTAAAAAAACATGAATTTAATCTCTACTAGTTATTAGTTGTGTCATTTTGGGTAGTTATTTAATAGATTTGATTGGAGGATCTTCAGCTGTTAAAAAAATTGAGGTAATAATAGTCACTGTTGCATATGGATATTATGAGACTAAGGAAATATTAGTACAAAAAGTGCTTAGCACAAAACTTGGCACATAGCAAGAGATAATCAAAGTTAGTTATAAATTAATTATAATTTAATTAAGATAATCAATTTATATAATCAATTTATGATTCAGTCATCCATTCCCTAACTTTTCCTTCCATCTTCATTTGAAACAAGAAGACACATATTGACCAGTGACTTACACCTGTAATCCTAGCTACTCAGGAGGCTGAGATCTGAGGATCATGGTTCAAAGCCAGCCCAGACAGGAAAGTCTATGAGACTCTTCTCTCCAATTAACCACCAGATAACCGGAAGTGATGCTGTGGCTCAAATGGTAGAGCATTAGCCATGAGCTAAAGAGCTGAGGGACAGCACCCAGCCTGAGTTCAAGCCCCACGACTGACCAAAAAAAAAAAAAAAGGACATATATATTTGGCCAAGCAACTCTGTTGTAAAGAATTCACCCTTTGAAGTCAGGAGTGGTGGCATATGTCTGTAATCTTAACACTTGGGAGTCTGAGGCAAAAAGATTACATGTTCTGGGCCATCCTGGGCTAAATATAGGGAGACAAAACAAAACAAAAACACAAACACAACACAACAAAACAAAAACCCAACAAACTTACCCTTCACTATCCTTGTAAAAAACAGACCAAACTATTTTGTTGTTTGGTCAAACAATGAACTGGAAGCCAGCTAAATATCCACCATTAGGAAAATAAATAAATTTTTATACATGCAAATAAGAAATGGCACTTGGGGACCCAGAAAATATTTAACAAACAGCAGCCTTCTTCCCCGCTCAGATTCTCAACAAATTAATTAAAGAGTAGCAGATAAAAGTGTAGTTATCTCTAATAAAGGTTTAGTTAGAGCCAAGTATGGAAGTTTAGTCTGTAATCTCAGCTTCTCAAGAGGCAGAGATCATGGGCTGGGAAGGTGGCTCCGTGGTAGAGCGCTTGCCTTGCATGCATGAGGCCCTGGGTTCAATTCCTCAACACCACATAAGCAAAAAGAAAAAAGCTGGAAGTGGCGCTGTGGCTCAAGTGGTAGAGCGCTAGCCTTGAGCTGAAGAGCTGAGGTAGCCTTGAGCTGAAGAGCTGAGGGACAGCGCCCAGGCCCAGAGTTCAGGCCCCATGACTGGACCCCCCGCCTCCAAAAAAAGAGGCAGAGATCAGGAGGATCAAGTTTCAAGGCCATCGGGGATGAGGTAGGATAATAAGTCCACTTATCTCAATCAATAGCAAAAAACTGGGTGGGCATGGTAGTGTATACTGTTAGTATCTATACCTGTTATCCCAGCTATTGTGAAAGAGTAGGAGGATTGCCATCCAGGCTGGCCTGGGTCTAAACAAAGATCCTCTCTAAAAACAAAACAAAACAAAAACTAAGGCTTTTACTTTAGAGTAAGGGCTGTTGCTTAAGTGGTGGTACACCTGCCTTGTTAGCATGAGTTCAAAACCTAATACCATCAAAAGAAAAGGAAAGGAAGAAAGGAAGAGAAAAACAAAATACTGGGGCTGGGAAGGTGGCTCAGTGGTAGAGTGCTTGCCTCGCATGCATGAGGCCCTGGGTTCAATTCCTCAGCACCCCATAATCAGAAAAAGCCGGAAGTGGCACTGTGGCTCAAGTGATATAGCGCTAGCCTTGAGCTGAAGAGCTGAGGGACAGAGTTCAGACCCCACAACAACAAAAGAAAGAAAAGCAAAATACTAAGTTGGATGCTATTATTGAATGTTATATTAAGCAGGAAACAAAGAGCCTTCTTACTACTGAAACCCAGAAACTGGGCAGATACTCACTGGTCCTATCTACTTCTGAGAGAACAAAAGGCCCAGTCTTCATAGGTAACTCATTCTTGAGAAAGGAGCACATATAGCACATACAGCTTGGGGTTTTTTTTGTTTTGTTTTTTGCTTTTTTGTCGGTTGTGGGACTTGAACTCTGAGCCTGGGTGCTGTCCCTCAGCTCTTCAGCTCAAGGCTAGCACTTTACCACTTGAACCACAGCACCATTTCTAGTTTTTTGAGTGGTTTATTAGAGATTAGAGTCCCACAGACTTTCCTTCCTGTGCTGGCTTTGAACCGTGATCCTCAGATCTCAGCCTCCTCAGTAGCTGGGATTACAGGCGTGAGCCACCTGTGCCCAGCAAGCTTGTTCTTCAGAATTTGCTAATCTTACCTGTACTAAGGTGTGAAGGAAGTAAAGATACTAAAAGGAGCTGGGTGAGACATTGAGTACCCTTCACCTTCCTAACAAAGCCAGTACAGACATTAAGTGTAAGGACACTATCCATACTATACCTCTGGATGATAGTATACCTCTGGATGATCTTTGAGGAAGGCATTTTAGGGAGAAAAAGTAAAATGCAGAGTAAAATATTGTAAGATCTCTTTCATGTAAAATTGTATGAAGAGGATGTACACAAATATGTGGTAATAAGGATACAAAAATAGTAATAGTGGTTATGTTTGTGGAAGGGATTCAGGGACAGAAGAGGGTACCTTTTTATATATGGCTTTAAAAAAATATTATAATTGTTTTATATTATTTATTATTGTGTCAGTCCTGGGGCTTGAACTCAGGCCCTGGGGGCTGTCCCTGAGCTTTATTGCTGAAGGCTGGCATTTTACCTCTTGACAGCTCTACTTGCATCCTTTTTGGTAGTTAATTGGAGATGAGACTCACAGACTCTCTTGACCAGGCTAGTTTTGAATCATGGTCCTCAGATCTCAGCCTCCTGAATAGCAGGAATCACTGGCATAAGCTACCAGTACCTGGCTCACTTTTATGTTTAAATATACTGCTAAGGGTTAATGACCACTATTGAGTTCTTCTTTATCCTTCTCTGCAAAAATAAAGTACAACACATGCTATTCAAAGAAATTTTAAAAAAGGCATTCTCTAGCCTTGGAAGACCTAATGAGCTGTAATCATAGAGACGCCAGACTAGTCAAAATTGGAAGAAAGAGCTATAATCACAGGAAAAGAACTCTCTCCACAACTTGAAGTATCCCAGCAATCATGACAGCAGGGTTGACTTTAGGAAAAGCAGACAGGAGCAGCCATGGCAGAGCCTGCAGTGGGTGGGGTGAACAATACCATGAAATGACATTGGAAAACACAAGCTGCCACTCAGGACCCATGTCTCCTAAGGGAAGGATGATGGAAGGGTCTGATGTGTGGAAGCCACAGGAGGCAGTAAATGCTGAAGTGATTATGACTCATGATATGACCTGATGGTCCTCAAAGCTTGAGTGGCCTTGGAGAAACCGGGTCATAGTTAAGTAACTAAGGCACTGTGCCAGAGAAGCAGGATGGACAATCGATTGAGCTTCTTCCTGCAACCCCAGGTAATCAAAATGAGGTCTGTGTGAGGGAGGCGAGGAGCTGCCTTAAGCAAGCATCTCTCCTGCTTTGCCAAAGTTCTGGCAGTGAATGTCATTACAGCAAAGCACACATGTGGCCTAATTACTTGTTCTACTTTGTCTCTAGTCCAGACCCTATAAGAAAATTCTCATGAATTGATTTTCATGGAAACATGCCCTAATTCACATTGCAACCATGCTCAAATCATAGCACAGATAGATAATTTTTTTTAAAGACCCAGATTCCTTAAAACAACAACAAAACAGCTTTGTTTTTACTACAGACCTCAAGTTCCAAGCAGGGTTTGAAGTAAGCCCAGCTGCCCCCTTGAAGCCATTTCTCACTGTTCTATGCTCACAAGAACAAAGAGATTTCTTTAATTTCCTTGGGTTCTTGCAAAACGAAAGCAGGCATTGATAACAATAAAGCCTGGAATTCTATGGGTTAAGAAGCCCCTTTCTGGCTTCATGGCTCCAGTGATAGCTCACCAGTCTACAAGCCCCTCTGCTCAGACATTCTCTGTGTAAAAATGGTCAGACACAGTGAAAGTTCATGGGGAGAAAACATCCCCAACAGGAGAATGGGTGTGAGAATTAGTCAGCTTCTAGACTCGCTCAGACGGCCATGAGGTTGTAACTTAATCCTGACAACATAGTCTTTCCTGGAAGAGACTTGAGCAGCAATTTATCATTTTATAATTTGTGGTTTAAATCGGAGCCATAAACCCAGCAGCTGTATTGGTTTGAGGCGTTTGGGAATTTTTTTTTTAACCCCAGGAGGCAAGAAGATAGCTTCAGACTTGGGATGCTGGACTCTTGGGGTTTCTTTCACTGAAAGAGCACAGAAGGACAAGATGTCTGCACTCTTCTGCTTTCTTTTCTTAGGCAATGTATGGAATGCACACTTTTGTTTGTTTTAGACTTGGGGGAAAGCAGACTTTGATAGCTGGAGCCTTGTGCTGGCCCCCTCCAATCTTGTGACAGCGGGTTTTCATCTGTTCCAGGGTCCCCCAAGGGAATGAGAAGCTGGAAGCCAAGAGGGGGGAAATGGGTGGAGAAAGGGGAAGCCAGGGGAAGGGAGGAGTGCCAGAGATAACTCTGCTGACTTCACAGTTTTCCACCGGGGCCTGCCCTGCCTACCTCTGTTGACATCAAAGCTTTCTGAGTGCCTCTGAGTGCTCTGTTCACCCTGCCTGCCACCACTGGGAGAAGAGTTGGCAATCAGTCCTGCAACAAAACGGAGAACAAAACTTCGGCCATGAACTTTCACTAGACAAAAACATTTCCTCAGCTTTGTAAGCCAGCTCTGGGTACCCGCATGCTGGAGTTGCAGCATCCAGAAAAGCAGCTTTTACGAGGATGTCTCCAGAAAGTTGGGTGGCTTCCCAAGGTGTCTCACGGGTTCTGAGCAGCACTGGCTGTCTGTGGGCTGATGGGTGTGGCTTTCGCAATCATGTCGGGGCGCCTGGATTTAGGAAGACTTGGCTTCTCTCGGCAGAGCAATGCAGGGCATCAGGTTTTTTTTTGCTGGCAGCTGAGCTCAATCCTCGGCTTCCATTCCATCTCCCTTCCCTACTTCCCCTGCTGGGATTTACTTGTTTTTCATTCCCATCTCTCTTTCCTTTAGCCAGCCTCTTCCCCAGGGAGGAAGCAGAAGAAACAAGATGACCATCCTTGTCTGCTCTCCCTATGACTCTTAGATCTGCTTGTCATTTAAAGCTCAGAGCAAAAGGCGCAGCACACCCACTATTCCCCCTTCCCTCTCCCCCATGAAGGAAAACTAGTTATCATAGATTCTGCATGTTAAAACTAAGCTGAACAGAACAGACTTAAAAAATGTATGTATGTATGTGGTACTTCATTGACAGTATAAGAAGTGTTCCTTATAACCATCTCCTATTAATCAGTGTGCATTTGGAGATTAGTCTGGGCTAGAAATAGGTTCCTTGGAAACCCAGCACCACTTGCAAACCTAAGCACTAAAAACTGTTTAAAGGGTCTATAACTTGGGCTGGGGTGTAGCTCAGGTAGATAGTGTAAAAGCCTAGCATGCATGAGGTCTTGGATTTGATCTTGAGCACCATCAGTAGAAATTAATAATAGCTGGGCACCAATGGCTCACATCTGTAATCCTAGATATTCAGGAGGTTGAGATTTGAGGATCATAGTTCACAGTAGCCTGTGCAGAAAAGTCCATGAGACTCTTAATCTCCAATGAACTACTCAGAAAAAGCTGGCTGTGGCTCAGGTGGTAGAGCACTAGTCTTGAGCACAATGAGTCTCAAGGACAGTGTGAAGTCCTTGAGCTCAAGCCCCAGGAACAGCAAAAAAAAGAGAGAGAAATTAATTTTAAAAATTAATTCTATGGGCTGGGAAGGTGGCTCAGTGGTAGAGTGCTTGCCTTGCATGCATGAGACCCTAGGTTCGATTCCTCAGCACCATATAAGCAGAAAAAGCCAGAAATGGCACTGTGGCTCAAGTGGTGGAGAACTAGCCTTGAGCTGAAGAGCTGAGGGGTAGCATGCAGGCCCAAAGTTCAGGCCCCACGACCGACAAAAACAACAACAAAAACCCACAATTGATTATAACACAGGACTGATTGGATGTCTAACTGTGCAATGTGTGCATATGAATTAAAATTTTAAAAATTTATTCTGTAAAGTTTTTGACAATATGATTGTATGTCAAAGGAGGCCAGCATTAGCTACCTTTGAATTTGATCATTGCTAGCCTTCCAACCTGACTCAATAAAATTCCTAGGAAAATGTAGCCTGGACTCTAGAACATGGCCATACTGAAAGCCTATCTGGCCAGCTATAGCTACATGAAGAATATTTTGAAGACCATATGACTCTTGTCTGTATGGGAAATAATAGAAATGTCACATTAGACAAGAAGTTGGAGAGTTAGCTACTTCAAACCCTATATGAAATATCAGGAATTTTTAAACTGAGAAAGTTAAGAGACATGTCTACAGTGAGTTTTCACTAGTTAATTACACAAACAAAAATGAGAACCAGAGTCAGTGTGTAACAAATGTATCCTGAGGACTTGAAGCTAAGAGTATTACTCAAAACTAAGCTTACTACCAGATATGTATTGACACAGTTATGGTCAGTGGTCAACATTCCCGAAACTGCTCTTGATTTTCTATCCTCAGATAGTTTTCCCACTCCCAGACTGTCAACTCCTTTGAAACAGATCCAAAATGCTTTTTTGGAGAGGTGTCTCAATTCAGCTTGCAGGCACTCTTGGGGCAGCCTTCCAAGAAGAAATGGACAGGCATGCTGTCTGGGCTGGACCCAAGTCAGGCTCTGCCTGCCTAGGAGTGTATCATCTATGCTTTTGACTGTCTGATGGATAAAGCTCCAGGCTCTTACTCCTCAATCAGCACCAACAAATCTATGCAGTATTGGCTCAACTCACAGGCTTTAATCTTTAGCTCTCACATAGTTAGGGCATTTTTTTTATTAACAAGAGACATTTGGCTATATTAAGCTTCTCTTCCCTAAATTCTCTTTCCAAAACTTCCATCAGCATCCTTTTGCTATCTTTACTGCTTCTTTGTATACCTAGGTACTGTGGAAAACAAGAGAATCTTGGTTCATATCTTCATGGATTTTTTTTTTTTTGGTGCCAGTCCTGGGGCTTGAACTCAGGACCTGAGTACTGTTCCTGAGCTTCTTTTGCACAAGGCTAGTGTTTTACCACCAGAGCCACAGCTCCACTTCTGGCTTTTTTAGTTGTTTATTAAAGATAAGAGTCTCACAGACTTTCTTGTCTAGGCCGCCTCCAAATTTCAAATCTCAGCCTCTTGAGTAGCTAGGAGTATGACATGAACCACTGGCACCCAGTTCTACATGGATTTTTATATGTCATTATACCATATTTCATGGTTTAACAAAGTTCAGATGGAGAAAACAAAAGGTGATATTTCACAACCTTTATTCCATTAATTGTGTATTTTCCCAACTTAACAACTAACATTCAAGTTCCTGAGTGTTTACTTGGCTTGCTTCCCAGCTGTGTTCAAATTTTCTGTATGTTCATTCCTTTTTTTTTTTTTTCCTGTTTGCTTGTGGAATTTCCAAGAGGGAATAGGCATGAAGAATTCAGGCAGAGAAATGAAAAAAGAAAAAGAAAAGCAAAACATCTGCAAACAATTGACCAAAGCCAGTTGCAGTTAGATTAGAGTCAGGGGCTTTTGGTTGCAAGTAACAGAAACTAACCTGACAGATTTGAGGAAATTATTGAAATGCTATTGGGCAACTCAGAATCAGAAGTTTTAGAAAAACAGCCTAAAAAACATGGGAATGAAGAATCACAGTTCTATCACTATAACTGGTAAGATCACCACAGCTACTGCTGCACAATGCTGGATCATAAATAGTGTTACCATCATCTTCAGACACGAACACTGAATGCCATTATGACCCCCTACTGCTTTAGAAGCCTATGTATATTTTTATTATTAATTTTTAAATTGTTATTACAAAAGTTATATATAGAGGGGTTACTGTATCATAAGACAGGTAATGAGCACATTTCATCTTTTTTGTTGTTGTTGTTGATCATGAGGCTTGAACTCAGGACCTGAGCACTGCTCCTGAACTTCTTTTACACAAGGCTACTACTTTGAGCCACAGCACCACTTCTGGTTTTCTGGTGGCTAATTGGATATAAGAGTTTCACAGACTTTCTTCCTGGGCTGGCTTTGATCTGAGATCCTCAGATCTCAGCCTCCTGAGTAGCTAGGATAAAAGGTATGAGCCATCAGTGCCTGGACCATTTTGGGACAATGTCACCCTTTCTTTTACTCTCTCACAGCTTTTCCCCATCCTTGCCTATAGTTCATATAGTTCATTTTCAACACATTGTCTACTGAGTACCACTGCTGCATTTGTTCACTCCTCTTTTCCTCTCTCAAAGACAGATAAATGAACAAACAAGATAAAAAGAATCTCATTTCCATTTCTTGGAATTCATTTAGATAAATATTATTTGATATAATCAGTGCCTCTATACAGAAGCATTGCACCTTGATGTTCCTCCCCTAAAAGTATCTTCCTTTGGTCTCACTGTGTATGAATGCCTAGAGACCTGTATAATTTATCATGCCCTGGTGTGTTTTAGATCTAGCTCTGCATATGAGAGAAAACATGCACTGTTGATCTTTCTGAGCTTGGCTTACTTCACTTAACATGATTTGTTCTAAGAACATCATTTCCATGAACATGACATACTATTATTCTTTTAATGAACTTTTATATTTTTGTTCCTATGCAATCTGTCCCCAAGAGAGGATCTTCCATGATACCTACTGGTTGGTGCCAGTACCTTCTGATTCCATCTGGAATAGGTATACCTGCTTGGCCAGGTTTAAATTATATGCTCATAGTCTACCTTCAGAGGAGAATAGAAAGAAGCATGTCTGGCCTTTGGGTTTTCTATCTACCCCTATGGTACTAAAGAGAGAATCTAGTGCCTTGTACAGGGTAGGCAAGTGCACTATTGTTGAGCTAAATACCTGGGTTCTTTTTTTAGGGCACCAAGATTCATGAAGTCGTAAATATTCTAAATCAAGGAAGAGAGCTGAGATACTGATTAGCCAGCATGACCCTTTTAAACCATCTTCCTGTAATCCTATGTGAGAGAGGGCTAGGGTCCACATTTCTGGGCTACCAGAGAATTAGAAATGAGCCCAATATATATTTCAGCAAGAACCCACAGGCCACTGACTCCACCTAAGCAAGCATAGGTAATACAGATAGAGACATGGATGAGCTTTTTCTGCCACCTCCTTCTGTTCAACAAGAGCCCCTCACAGCCCCAGTGAAAAGAGGGATAGTGTAAGGAGACTCAAGACAGCTTTCCCACCTGAAGCTGGATCAGCCCTGCCTGCTCCATCATCCTTTCCACACCAACAGGAAGGAAACAGAAGCTGATGCCATTTAGAAACAAAAGACCAAAGTCTGGGTCAGAGCTTTGTGTCTTTGGCCTTGACCTCTCATCCCAGAACTATTGCTTAGATTTTTGATCATCTATGGATTGGATCCTGACATGCTTTTCAGCATTTTGTCACCACCAGTTACCAAGTGCTTGGGCAGCTGCCCAAGATGCAGGGAGAGTAGAAAGGAAGAAGGGATGTACGTGTTCATTAGCCACCCATAGCTCCTGAGCCTCAAAGCTCCAGGCTGCCGTTTCCTTTCACTGATAATGTCTGGAGAGGATTAAAAAATAAAATTGTGGTTTATGTTTTTGTTTTTTCTAGTGTCCTACCCATTAAGGGAGTTGGTTGAAAGAAAAAGAAGGGGAAAAAAGCCTCACATAAAACCAAAAACGGAAAGTCTTTTTTGAGTCATCTAATTATTTGTTCCTTGACTTTGGAAGAGAAGCCAACCAGCCCTAAGTGTAACACTCATTGAAGGATGATCATAGGGTCAGGCGAAGATCTCTCAAGCTATTCTCAGGACCCTACCCGAGGGTGGACTGTTGGTGACACACTGTTTTCCTTTATCCCTTTCCTGAGGATGTGGCCTCAGGAAGTGGCCTCAGGGTAGGGCAGATAATTTTGCTTGTCTGAGCTTGAGGAGAGGAAAATAGGGTGGCAAGTAGAGTTCTCCTATCATATTCTTTCCCATACCCCTCACCACAAACACAGTTCTCATACCATTCCAGCTTTTCTTTATCCCAGGGGAGCCACATACCAAGTCTTCATAAAATCTCTCCACTGTCAAAAGAAGATAGCTTAAAAAAAAGAGAGAGAGAAGATAGCTAAAAACTAATATGTTTATAATATAGTAGCTTAGTTCATGACAAAAAAGTCTTTCCCTGCCAGACAATAGTGGTTCACTCCTGTGATTCTAGCTACTCAGGAGGCTGAGATCTAAAGATTACAGTTCAAAGCTAGCCTGGTCAGAAAATCCCTGAGACTCTTAATTCCAATTAACCACCAGAAAACCAGAAGTAGAGCTGGGGCTTAAAGTGGTAGAGCAAAAAATGCTAAGGGACAGCTTCCAGGCTCTGAGTTCAAGCCCCACAACCAACAACAACAAAAAGGCCTTCCCTGAGCCAGCATCCAAAACTACAGCTTTGATTTTCTCAGTGGGCAAACATAAAAAAAAAAACACCAGGAAAAACAAAACTCACATTCTTATTTCTTTTGAAAAACTCAAATGAAGACATTATTCTATTTCTCTTGGATCTTAGGATTTGATAAATTTTACTTAGAATTGAACAAAGGAAAAGGATTCCATCAGCAAACATTGCCTTTTTTTCCCCCCAGATAGTAAGAAAGACATAAACACCAGTGTTTTCCCTTTTTATTTCAAGAAGCCCAGACTTCAATTTAGGATCTATTTACAGAATTATCTTGGGTTGTTGGCCTTTACCTTCCTCTATGTGGGTTCTCAGCTCACCTTTCACTTTTAACAGACACCAATTTCAGCTATACTATAGCTTATTTATTTATTTACTTATTCATTTATTTTTGTGATAGTACCAGGGCTTGAACTCAGAGCCTCACATTCTTGCTCAGCAGGCATTTTACCACTTGAGCTACATCTCCAGCCTTGCATTAGAGTTTTTAAGAAGAGCAGGCAATGTAAAACCAACTAACAAATCAGAAAGTTGTCCAGTGTCACCCAGATAGATCTTGATCACACTTTCCTCATATACCTGAGCTTGTTGGAGAGATGAACTTTCAGGCTTTTGTACGTTCAAGTTTTGAATTAGAAGAAAAAGAAGGCTTTAGAGATTGATGAGCTAGATCGATGAAGTCTGGATCAGGCTAGAAAAGCTTCCAGATGGAGGTGTTACTTAGAGCAAGCTTTGAAGGCTTGGATTTAGCTTTGGTGATTAGAATGTTTATTTATTTATTTGGTTGGTTGTGGGGCTTGAACTGTGGGCCTGGGCACTGTCCCTCAGCTCTTCAGCTCAAGGCCAGCGCTCTACCACTTGAGCTACAGCGCCACTTCCGGTTTTCTGGTGGTTTATTGGAGATAGGAGTCTCATGGTCTCTCCTCCCCGGGCTGGCTTTGAACTGCAATCCTCAGATGTCAGCCTCCTGAGTAGCTAGGATTACAGGCATGAGCAACCAGCGCCCAGCTAGAATGTTTGTGTGGTTTGATTTGGACTACAGTAGGCTTTAGACAAGAACTGAGGCCTTTGGTTAGTTTTTTTTTTTATTGTAGGCAGGTCTTGAACCCCTCCAAGTAGTCAGTTCCTAGCCTTCTCAGGCAACTACAGAAGAATGATACTTAACCATTAAACATGAAGTAGGTGGAACTGGTCTAGGTACTGTTGACATTTGGCAGTGGACAGTACTGGGGTTTGAACTTATGGCCTTACACTTACTATGAAAGTACTCTTAAGGTCATGTTTTTTGTCTTTGCTGTTTTTTTTTCCTAATAGAGTCTCATATTTATGTCTAGGCTAGTTTAGACCATGAATCTCCTATTTACGATTTCCACATAGCTGCGTTGACAGGTGCATGCTACGGCAGCACCCAGCTGTTTTATTGGTTGAGATAGGATCTTGCAAACTTTTTGCCTGGGCTGGCCTGGAACAGAGATTTTTCCAATTTAAACCTTGAGTAGCTAGGATTATAGGTATGAGTTGCACACTTATCATCATTGATATTTTAAACAGACGTTTATTGGAACTATCCTACCTATTACAGCATACTTAGCATCTTGGTCTTCATCCACCAAATGGCAGTAGCAGTCCTTGATATAACCTCAAAAGGTTACATGCTTTTCCTACAACCCCTAGGATGAATGTGTATGTGTGACTGTAATACACACATGAGATCTACTGCCTGAGAGTCTCTTCTCTGGCTGCCCCCAAACTAGGTCTACCAGAATGTTATTGCTTTAGTATGTTCTCGAATGTTCCCGTGGAACTTAATGCTCAATGCAACAGAATGGAGAGGTGGGACCTTTAATATGATAAGGTCATGTGAATTCCTTTGTTGTGGAAGTGGCTTAGTCATCTTGAGAGTAGGTTCCTGATGAAAGGAAGAATGAGCTCTCTCTTTCTCTCCCTCCTTCCCTCCCCCCTCTCCTTCTTTCTCCCTCCCTCCCTCCTTCTCCTCCTGCTTCCTCTCTTTCACTCTTTGTCCTTCTCTCCCTTCTCCTTCTCCTCCTGCTTCTCTCTCTCCTCTCTTTGTCTCTGTCTCTCTCTCTCTCTGTCTCTCTCTCTCATTCCATAAGCTACCTTTTACCATTTGTCATGTTATGACATACCAAGAAAGAGACCCTCATTAGTTTTGGACCTTCTCACTAAGACTTTCCAACCTCCAGAACTACAAGACAAACTTTTCCCTACAAATTACGCAGTCTGCATTATTCTGTTACAGCAGCACAAAACACACGAAGTCATGATGCGGCCATTCACACCCAGAGCATTCAGGAAGTCTAACTATGTCCACAAATATTGTATTGTTTGTTGTTTCTGTGAAATGAAAAATCCAGCCAGGGGTTCTTATTTTATCAGCACAACAGCCTTTTTACCACTCCAGACAAACCTGCCTCCCAGAAATTCCCATTGGGCTGGTCATTGTTTTGTGTGCCGAACCATTCCTTCCTGCTTCTGTGTCAAGACTTAGCTATTCTGTATTTCAATCCTTTACGTTCATTCTTTGTGTTAAGTCTCAGTGGGATGATAAATGCTTCAATTTTTCCTTACTGTGTAGGCTAGTTATCCCATCCAATAGTATCTTACCTTAACCAGGTTATAGTATATATCCAACCCCTGAAGATCTCACATTGAATGGTGGTAGGAGAACAAAGTGACCCCAAGGACCATTCTTCAAGCCTACAATTGATGCCAGAGAGCCCTAGATCTCAGTGATTTCTAACATTGGCTGCACAATGGAAGCTTTAAACACTATCGACATTTGGCCCAACCCTCCAGTCTGAATTGTTATAGCATGCGACCTGACACAGGGATCTTTTTTAAAGCCACATCCCTTCTCAGGGTCATTCCAACATACAGCCAGGGTTACAATCCCTGTTCTCCTTCCTGACAGGAGAAAGAGAGGAAGGACAAAATGAGACAGGACATTTTAAAAAAGGAAGGAGAAAACATAGTCCCCATTTACAGGTGCTCTACTTGGCACTAAAAATTGAGAGGATTTGAAAGAATTAAGATGCAAACACATTCCAACCATGCAGGGAGAGGACAGTTCCAGAAAGTAATATACTCCAAATGACTTCCAATTTGAGCAAAACAGATGTGAAATGGTATTTCTGAAGAACTGAGAGTGTCATTTTGTGCCAGATACTGTCCTTAGAGACGCCTCAGCTTCCCTCCCTGCACCCCCAAAAAAGGAAAATCTCCTAGAGAGAGTGGCGTGATTCTTTATTGCCTAGTGATTCTAACTGATGCCTACAGGTTCTGAGCCCAGGTTGCTCACACGCACAGCCTTGCTGGTGTTGGCTAAGGAGCGAGCCTCTGATGTCATCATGGGCACCTCAGGGAAAGAGGCTCCCCTCTGGGCTCCAGGCAGGCTGGGAGCCCAGGATGTCAGTCCCAGGGCCACCAGCACACGCCTGCCTTGCCTCTGACAAGTAGGTCAGCATAGAAACCAGCTCCAGCATCCACTGAAAGCTGCTTGTTGCTGGCAGGAAGTTGCTTCTGCAGAATTAAAAACCATCAAGAGTTGATCAAAGGAAGTGAAGGGCAGGCTGGCAGGCAGGCCAGATCCTAATCTCTACTTGCTGGCCTCACACATCACTGCACATGAGTCACCCCGCTGAGCTCAGCCGACATGCTGTTTGGATTAGATTTTCACAGGCCAGCTTTGCCAAACTTTGCTGTCTCCACGAACAGACCAGTGGACAGACAAGTGATTTGATTCAGTGGAATTACCCAGGTGCAGGGGAGGAGGTAGATGGTTCCCCAGGTTATAGGGAATGACCACCAGTTCTTGGTGGCTCCAGTTCATCTGCTCAGCTCAGCTCCACGGACCATCCAGAGTAATTGAGCCACAGCAGGCCCACACATCGGTCCTCGCCAGCTTTCCAATTAAGATGTACTATTACAGGCATGTATTTTGCCTTCACTCAACCATTTGCCTCTCAACCAGCAGGAATTCCTTTTCTCAAAAAAGCAGGCAACACTTCACCACTCAGGCATCTTGCCTCAAAAGCAGTAGAGTCCAGCAAAAGAGGGAGGGAAGTCAGAAAATAAAAATTCCTAAATTAAGAGCCAACCCATAAAAGCAGGGCTTCCCTTAGCGCCTGGCTGGTGTGACATCACCATGAATTACTCAATGAAAATAGTGTCAAGAGCATCAGCTCGATGAAATGTAGAAAATTTTCTTCAGACCCAAGAACTCTACAGGAAAGGGGGAGGGTGTAGAAAAATCCCGCTCTGTACTTAGGTCACTGAGGGGGCCTCTTTCAGCAAGGGGTTGATTGCCCTGGACAGAGAACAGGGTAAGAGTCTTTTCCAGAGTCTCGGTACACAGAAGTAGTAGTAGGTATAACCCAGTGGTTTGTTTTGCATCCTTCTCTGGAAGCAATGGTAGGAACAGGATCAAAATCTTTTGTTTCACATTCTGCCAAGTTTTGCTTCTGTGCATGGTAACTTGGGAAGAAGCAGCCCCCGTTATTTTGTAAGCCAAGGATTCTTGGCTAATAGTCTCTGCTGGGATTCTCTTTAGAGTATTTTAGACTCTCATTTATTAAAGGCCTCTAAATGGAGGTGGCAGTCCTTGACATTTTCAAGGACTATTGCCACTATCTTCCACACTGCTCTTGACTTTAGTAAACCACAAAACCTCCAAATTTACCATTGCTCAATCAATTAACTATATATCTTTATAGATTGTTTTTGGTTGTTGACTTTTCAGGTTTCTTTTCATCTGTCTATAATTCTCATAGTAGTCAGAGCTGCTCATGAGTCTCTCTCTCTCTCCCTCTTTCTCTCTCTGTCTCTCTCTCTGTCTCTGTCTCTCTCTCTCCTCTTTTTCTCTAGCATTTGCCCTTTAAAATAGAAAGAGACAGAAGGTACATCCTTTATTGCTTACCAGTCTCTGAAGCATACCACAGCCATGTGGATCAGTGGCTTGGGTGTGACTGTCAAGCAAACCCTTATTTGAGCTCTGGCTTTACCACCTATTAATGGTGTTATCGTAAAGTAATTTTCTTAATCCCTCATGGCCACAATCTCCTCATCTGTGAAATGTGGATAATTATAGTCCCAAACTCATTGAGAAGGATTAAATGAGCTAAGGAAAGGAAAACACTTAGTAAAGTTCCTGGCACCTAGTAAACACATAAAAATATATCGTTATTTGGATTACAGTAATTACTCTGTAACCAGCATTACAGAGCAAATGGTGGTAAGCTTAATTGGAATCTACAGCCAACAATTCTTTCTTCTGAAATTCCCCAGTGCCTAGAGTTATAGTTTATTTTAATCAAAGTAATTTGCTTGAGGTGCCTGTGCTTGAATGGAATTGTCTTTCTAAGTTAGGGAAGGAAAAAAAAAACATGAGAAGGAAGGAAAGAGCTACTTGTAAGTGATTAAGAAAGCTAATGCTGTAGCTCAGTGGTACAGTGTAGGCTTAGCATACTAGAGACTATGAGTTTAATCGTTAGCATCCCCTTAAAGTACTTATACTTGAGGCTTATTTCCTATAACTAGAAGGGAAATCTCATAATTCTTGAAGGCCAAAGTAGGAATCTGATGTGGCTCAGTGCATCAAAAACGCACATCCACCCAGTTTCCATCAGCTCTCTGGGTGATAGTAGGGATGATCATGAATGTTTGTTTGTTTGTTTTTGCCATTTATAGACACAGAGAGGTGTAGCATTTCTAGTACATAGGTTGGCCTGGACATAGTCTACAGGTGAGAAAAGGTGACTGGATCTGCATTGCATAGCAAAAGTAAATAAAGGCATATATTTGGGTAGAATGTATTTGCTGCCTTTTAGCAAGATCTCCTCACTAGTATGGATTTAGATTGAGACTGGTTGTGTTGTATTATGGTAATGTGTGTGAGTGTGAGAGAGATCTAAGAGCTATAGGAGTACAGAAGATCATAGGAATATCAAGGAAGGGTCTCTCTTGACCTCACACTGGCAGAGGGACACTACAAGAAACAGGAACTGGAGACATGAAACCTCTGGGATTTGTGTAACTATAGGTCATGCATGATTCTTGACTAATTCAGACTGTGAGGAATAGATTACTCTGGATCATTTGAATAAAATATTCAGTGAGGACATGAAAGGTGTATCCCATTAGAATGAAAACAATGGTTTAGGATTTTGTCTTTTGTATTCACTACTTTATTCCTAGCATCTAGAACAGTGTGGCTTTCCTGTATCACCCCTTGTAGTGACTTAAAACACAGCACATATATTATCATCCTGGTTCTGTGGTCCTAAGGGACTGAAAATCAAGGTGTTAGCTGGGTCACACCCCAGTACATTCTAGGGGAGAATGCTTCCTGGCCTTTTCACTTTGCAGAGATGGCCTGCATTCCTTGGCCCTTCCTTGTATCATTCCCAAGTCTGCAGACATCCTCACACTTCTCTGACTGGCTCTTCCCACCTTGCCTTCCTCTTCTCCTTATAAGGATCTTTGTGCTTACTCTGGGCATTCTGGGATAATCCCTGATAATCTCCACATCTCAAAGTCCTTAACTTAATTACATCTACAAAGTCCAGGTAAAGTAACGCACTCACAAGTTCCAGGATGTAGACATTCTTGGGGATCATTATCTCGCCTACTACAGCCCTGAGGCCACCATCAGTGTCACTTCAAGAGAAATGGCAGCCCTGAGTCACAGACCAAAGTCCACTGCACTGGGAGCTGAGGCCTTGGCCAGGTGTGTAGTTTAGGAGCAGGTGAAAGCAGAACAGGCTGCAGCATGGCCAGACTCTAGAGATAAGAAGACAACTCCCTTTCTGCAAATATACTGGAGGGAGTTGATGTTTGGTGATAGAGGCAGGAGGACAGATCGTGCTCGTATGAATATGGGGGCTGTCTGGACAGCAGTCACGTCTTCTCCAGTGTGGAGAGTTAAACATTCGAGCCAATTAGTTAAGTGCTATACCCAGTTGATAGCAGAAGTGCAATTCAATAAGAGGTATCTATTATTAATATAGGGGTCAGGGACAGAAAGGAAGGATCCAGAGCCCCAACTCTCCCCTGGGGAGGCAGGCTCTATAGCTCTGACCTTGGGGAAACAGGAAGAAGATCTGTCAGAAAGGAATAAGGTATGAGGCAGGTAAGCTGAGGTAGAATTTCAAATGTTCTTTATGTCAGCTTCTTCCCACACTGGCGAGGAGGAAGCATCTGGCCTGTTCTTTAATGAAACTTGGAACGTATTGCTTTAGTCAAGAAGGAAATATTTCTGTGGTTTTTCTGTGGGGGAAGAAAGTAATAAATCTTTCTGTTGTTGAAGGAACACCGTTCAGTGGGGTAGCTCAGAGAGGGATATATTATTCTTAAAGCAAACGCCAAGCAAACACGCTTGAAAGTTTGTTAACTTTGGGCCCTTGGGAAAGGTCACGTAGCTCCCCAGGGGCAGAAACAAAGTCCAGGAACAAAGGCTTGCTGCCACCACTGCTGAGGAGCTGGTAGTCACACATTCCATTCTGCCTTATTCCCAGAGCATATTGGTTTGAGAAAGACACTGACATTAGGTTTGGAGGTGAGTGCTGGCTGTAAAGACTCACTGGTCTCTCCCCATAGATTTCCCGTGGAACCCCTTCTCCCCAAAGGAGCATTCTGTGATCACAGCCTACAGGCGATAGAAAAAAAGCTCACCATCTTGTTCCCAAGATCTTTCATTCTGCAACTGTGTTGAATTGTTGTTGTAAATCTGGCACTATGCTGGGTGCAGTGGGGATGGGTGAGGATACAGCAGTGACCAAACTGAAAATAGATAATCCACATGTACCAGGCTGGGCTAAAGGGTATAGACAGACACAAAGACAAGGCAGAACAAAAAACCTGGTGATGATTATGGGTTGTTTCTCTGAGATACAGTGGCCAGGGGCTGGCCACCTGCTCATGGGGCCTGTGTGCAGAGATCTGGAAGGAGCAAACTGAGTCATGAAATGAGTCATAAAGACATCTCGAGGGTGCTTCAGATGGAGGAATCCTTTATGAACTCATGTTTTAGCGAGCTGGGTGCAAATTACCTGTTTCTCTTGTGATACAGAATCCCACCCACAACTGTATCTCCTGCAGCTCCTTTGTACACACTTACATGAAATGATGAGAACCAAGAGGAAGGCCATGACAGATTTTTGAAGGGAAAATCAACAGTTCATTGTGACTGCCTAGGAGGCTGACGTAGGCCTGGCCTATAGAAACTCTGATGGGATTTTGTCCATTTGGAATGGGTTTATCAGCTTGTCCTTGAGGTGAAGTCTTAAGGTCACTACTCTGACCAGCTCTCCAAAGCAAAGATCTATACAGGCTAGATGCAAAAATTACAAAGGAAGAGCACATAGAAAACAAACCTATTTATCCTGTGATTGCTTTGCTTTTGTATGAAGGAATAGTTTCTTTGTGCTCCATAAGCATGTAATCAGATTAGTAGACAGATAAACTGGATTTTCCAAAACACATCTGTTGAATGGTGTATATTTTTACAGGCACTATTTGCATATGATCTGGGTGCTTCTAGCATGACAACAGAACTTTAAGATGTGAAGTAGGTCTTTTGTTGTTGTTGTTAGGTGATTTTCAGATGAGGAATCAATGTCCTTTTTAGCATCCTGAGTACCTGGGGGTGGGGTGAGTGAAGAAAAATCAGGCTCTAACACATCTCTGCTTTTGCTTCCCCTCCACGCTCTCAGCTTCCCAGGCACAGCTTATCCTGGGCTGGTGGAGAAATAGCAATCTTAGGGCTATGGCATTTCTTTCTTTTCTTTTCTTTCTTTCTTTCTTTTTTTTTGTTAGTCGTGGGGCTTGCACTCTGGGCTTGGGCGCTATTCCTGTGCTCTTCAGCTCAAGGCGAGTGCTCTACCACTTGAGCCACAGTGCCACTTCGGTTTTCTAGTGATTTATTGGAGATAAGAGTCTCACGGACTTTCCTGCCCAGGCTGGCTTTGAACTGTGATCCTTGGATATCAGCCTCCTGAGGCATGAGCCACTGGCACCCGGTTGGCATTTCTTTCTTTCTCCCGAGGAATTTCCAAAATGGCTTCTCTGTTGGCTGAGATTTGAAGAAATAAAAGATGTAGCCTTTCCATGGTTTATTGTACTAATATTATATGCTAAATACTATATACTACGTAAGCATTCCTGCCGAGATTATGTTCAAAAAGAAAATCCTTATCAGTTAGAAAATCATGCTGAAGTATTTCTGAGTGAAGGAAATGAGGCTATATCTGGGATATACTTTACTGTGCATGATTGTGCAATCAGGGAAAGCCCCCTCCCATGGAGAGGTTCTGCATCCCTTACCATGGCCTTGAGCAGCCCCTGGACATCACAGCAGTTGTACATGTCGGGGACTCTGGGGCCCATTTTCTCTAGATGCTTTGCAGGTGAATAGTGGACTGATTGAACCCTAGAGATGTGTGTTGGCACAAATATCCAGTTGAAGGGGCTAAATGATATATGGAGAGCTAGTACAGACTATGTGGAGCCTCTGATTGGATGGGTGGAGTGGCTGTGGCTCACAGACTGTACAATGATCTTCAGAGTCATGTAGCTTTCTCCTAGAGACACCTTATTAATTCCTGCATATAATGCACCACAGGCCATCCCGTCCTGTTTAGCAAAAGCTCAACTTTTTCTTCACTGAATCTTTGCCATTTTACTTCTTCTTCTGTGCCCATGGACTCATTCATTGAGACCATAGAGATAAAAGACCTGATCTAGATGTTGGAGGGGTTTTTCTTTTTTGTTTTTTTTTTTTTTTTTGGTATCAGTTGTGGATGTGGGGGCACTAGGTGCACTGAGATTGGCACAGGTGGAGGCTGTGTAAGATGGAGTAAGTATATGCAGATTTCTCACTCCACTTTCATTTCCTGTGTTTGAAATTATTATTATTATTATTATTTGGGTCCAGTCGAGGGGCTTGCACTCTGGGCCTGGCACTGTCCCTCAGCTCTGCAGCTCAAGGCTAGTGCTCTACCACTTGAGCCACAGCACCACTTCCAGCTTTTTTCTTTTTTCTGCTTATGTGGTGCTGAGGAATCAAACCCAGGGCCTCATGCATGCAAGGCAAGCGCTCTATCACTGAGCCACCTTCCCAGCCCTGAAATTATTTTTTTAAGTTAAAAGAGAGGAAGAAAAAGAATTCAGCATTGAATCCGTTCTTTCCCTCTTGACTCTTGTTCCATAATGAAGCAGAGATCCTAATGTAAGAAATTTGATGATAGAGGGGCTGGGAAGGTGGCTCAGTGTAGAGTGCTTGCCTTGCATGCATGAGGCCCTGGGTTCGATTCCTCAGCACCACATAAGCAAAAAGAAAAAAGCCGGCAGTGGTGCTGTGGCTCAAGTAGTAGAGCGCTAGCCTTGAGCTGAAGAGCTGAGGGACAGCGCCCAGGCCCAGAGTTCAGGCCCCATGACCGGACCCCCCCCCCCAAAAAAAAGAAATTTGATGATAGAAGTTTTTATGAGATGACTTCAACCAAGAGAAAAGTGTGATAGATTATTTCTGGAGAGTGAAGCAGTAAGGGTTTCCAAGAAAACAGATGTTGAGATGAATAATGAAGATCCCCTGCTCAGGAATTCAGCCTAAGGGGCTGTCCTAGCAAACAGCAGAAGGGGACAGCATTGGTTATGCCATATAGCACTTTTATATGCCCTGCAGCATCACTCAGTCCCTCAAGGGTGGTGGTGGGGACTGAATGGCACCTCATATCCAGGACTGTAACTAGACTGGCTGGAAATCACAGGGGAGTCTTGCATCTCGGCTCTCTGGGCCTGGTTCTCTCAGAAGCCTGAGTGTCTTCTGGAGGGTGACAGTGTTGAGGGAGTGGTGTGCAATGCTATCAGGAATCTTGCAGCCTTGTCACTAAGCCCAGCAAGGAAGGCTGGAATGCAGCATGGGAAGTTCTCTCCTAGCCTCACTCACTAGGCCTGTTGGGTGGGGTGGAAATTGGCTTATGGGTGACCACACCCAGCTCCCTATCCACTCTGTCCAGAGACTACATCCTCAACAGCTGCTGTCTGTGTTTGGCTTTCAACTCCGCTGCTTCTACTCAGCTCCCAAAGACTGGTTTAGGAGACAACTGTGATGCTGGCGTTCCAATCATATCTGACCTGAACCCCCTGTCCATAGCCCTGTCTACCACACACATTGTGTCCTTCAATTCAATGATAAGATGATATTTATCTCAGGATGTGGATCTTTGGTTTGCTCTGTGGTTTTGTTTTGGACTTTATGAAGATTTATCTCACAAGCTTGTTATTTAAAATGTGGGAGGAATTGGCTTGTTTATTTTTTTAGTGGCTTTCTGTGGAATAAAAAATAAAATGAAGCCAGACACCACTGGCTCATTCATAATCCTAGCTATACAGGAGGCTGAGATCTGAGGATTCAGGTTGAAAACCAACCAGGCTGAAAAGTTTGTTAAACCCCAATTAACCAGCAAAAAGCCAGAAGTGCAGGTATGGCTCAAGTGCTTAGAGCACCAGCCTTGAGCAAAAAAGCCAAAGCAAAACAGTGAGGTCCTGAGTTCAAGTCCCAGTGCTGGCACAAAATCAAACAAAAAGTAAAAAGATGAAGTAAATATATTGATCTTGCATA